AACATCAGGTGCGATTGCGGTCAAATACCTGCCTTATCTTGCATAAAAAATATTATTATGTACTTTTACAGTAAAAAATTTACACAAATAAATAAACAAGATTAACAATGACATTAAACGAATTAAGTATAATTCGTTTAATGTGATTAATGTAATAATGTCTAGTAGTAACTAGTCAAACTTGCATTAAAAACATCTTTCAAAAATTACGATTTTTTGTCAAAAGATCTTCGAAATTGTAATAAGAGAATTTGTTATAAACTAGATTGTTAATTTCAGTAATTTCGTCAGTATTCGACATAATAAATGGTCACCTCACATGTGAGCAATGATGGACGTTTACGACAGTTTGTTCAAGTTACGAAACGATCTTCACAATTTGGGGTTATGTAGGCCGATGAATGACAATGGGTCGTAATATGTAGATTACTGACCGTGTGAATAAGGAGTGGCTATAAATTATGCAAAATTGATATAATTTAATGTCTGCAATTAATTTGTGTCATTTGACTAAAATATTTGATTCTGAAGAAAAGTTGCTCCATTATTTCCGCTCGACTATTGTGGTGAGCCCACGTAACACAAGCTTATTTACGAGGGGCTAATGGGACTATTAGTAATAAAAAAATACAGCAGTTCACAAGTCTAATACGAAAAAATCTTTACTTATTATCTTTGCTGAAACAATCGTTAGTTGTTCTAATTTGTAAATACTTTAGGAAAGTAATTACCTATAATGAAGTGTAAACATAGTGATAACAATTTTCATGCCAAACCAAGTCTTACCGAAGCCAATGAAGTTAAGTCCAAAACAATTAACATTACCAATGTAGCATTTGACCTAAACGCAATTCCGAGGGAGTTGGGTTATAAAAAGGGTTTCCCAGACCCTACCAAGGGCTAATTGGCCAAATGTGTTTAATTAGGCCGTGACATCGTTATAAATGGAGCTGTAATTGTTTCTACTCGTAAATTAAAAGTTGTTAACTAGTGTTAATGTTCGCGTTAATTCCGTGATAGATTGTCCAAGAATAACAAGTGACAGTAGACGTTTGTGTAACCAATAGTTATATTAAAGTATGGAATAGAAACAAGAAGCATTTAATGCTTTTTTACGCGCAGGGTAACTAAATGTTACTTACTTTTTTACGCTCCGAACGTAAAAAAAGCATTTAGAAACCTGAAAATAGACCCAATGTTTTAATTGATTCTATTACGAGTACTTACTTATTTATGAAGAAGAAGATAATCATTACCTCTATCGGAAACAGGTTTAAGAGAAGGATTTTTAAGAATTACTTATTAGTTCATATTTGTGTGTGTGGTGTAGTAAAATTCAAATAGGTATTACGTGGAGTAGTATATTATGAAGAGTTTAGACTATAACAGGAAAATTCTACCACTTTATGGGGATGAAGTCAAGGAAATTCCAAATTAAACTACTAACAAATTGCATTATTGCATTCAAATATTCCATTTATTGCCGCCAATACGCCGTTTATGAAATTTAAATGTATTGGTGAAACCACAATTATTAAATATTGTTATTGGGACAACATTGCGAAGTTCTTTGTATCAAGGTAAATACAGGGTGTCCCAAAAACAATGGATAACCCTGTAACCATCGATAGGCCTCGCCATGGTCTCCCTAACGTCCAATTTTGACCCCAGTAAAAATATCACCGTTTTCAAGATTTTTAAGTTTTTGTGCATTTTTAGAAAATTGCCACCTGCGATTACTTTTTCTCATGCCATTTCTACAAATGAGGATACTTTTCAATCTAGTTTTTTTCCTTATCACAAGGGATAGTTGGGCTATCAAAAGAAAAGATCAAAGTTCAACAAACTAGTTTGAAAGTATGAAAATTTTAAGAAATTGCAGAAGAGAAGGAAAAATTAATTCATTGTCTTGCACTTTTGATCAGCCATCGTGTAAAAAAAATGTAGGAAGACCATCGTGCCCATTATCTTAAAAACTTTCTTGGTTAATTGAAATTCTAAAAAGGTATCACAAGCCTATGTACTCTGTATTATTTTTCTCTTATGGCTACTTGAATAGCAACTAGTATGAAAACTGCAAAAATGAGTTTTTCTCGTAATAGTTAAACTAGGACTGCATAGTGGCATTAAATACAAATGGATAATTTTTAGCGTAGGAATTAAAATAAAGCAACATTTTATCATCATCATCATCATCATTTCAGCCGTAGGACGTCCACTGTTGAACATAGGCCTGTACCCTAATGATTTTCATAATGACCGCCTGCCTGCATACAGCACCTTCCTGCTTATCTTTATGAGGTCGTCGGTCCACTTTGTAGACGGACGGCGTTTATGGACGGCCCCTAATGAAGGAGTTTGAATATCTGTTTTGTTTGTTTCTGTAAACAATTGCATAGGATTTTAACACATATTATGAGCTAAACTAAGTATGGTAGTTGCGTCGTAATAATTAGATTCGTTTTGTTTGCTAAGTCGTCTCATGACAAGCAGTTTAACCGTTCAATTAAAAAGAGTCCCTTTATTTGGGTCACCAGACGAAATCCCTAAGTTCAGAGGTTATCTTGATTTTAGGGAACACACATGGTGAGTGGACTTCGCCCTTGATGATATGCGGGATGATGTCATGGTTATTTATGGGGTTATACAGTTGACAGCACAACAGGCTTACGCATTTTTGTTGCAAAATGTCACTTTTTACAACTACATAGAGTGCTATGTTTATTTTTTTGACTTTCCAGCTTCAAATAGTTCGTGACACCCAAAGTGGCCACAAAGTTGACAACACAACCTTATTCCAATTGTAACAAAGACGTGTTGCGAACTTTTTGGCTACTTTGGGTGTCACTCTATCTGACGCTCAAATTATCTTCATAAACTAACTTTTTTTATTCTAAGTTTCATAAGTTATGAAACTTAGAATAAAAAAAGGCCGGCAACGCACCTGTAACGCCCCTGGATCTGCGGGTGTCTATGGGCGACGGTAATCACTTACCATCAGGTGATCCGTCTGCTCGTTTGCCTCCTGTCAAATAAAAAAAAAAAACAATCTTAGAGTACATTCGTGGGTAAATGTTTCTTTTTCACAATCTAAATGAAATCTCAATCAATCCAAATCAATCTGCAGGCAGTGCTGGACCGGTGTCGTCGTGGAAATCCTTGGGTAGGCCTTTGTCCAACAGACGTCATTGGCTGAAACGAACGAAATATTCATATAGTCCAGTCAATGAATGCCTTAACGACGGTGTAGAGAGAAATCCGTGGAACACAATTTCTGACCTCGGGACTTTATTTAGCCTAGTTAGGTGGTGAACATAACAAAAGTCCCCGNAACTTGTCTATCTCATCTGTAGCAAATTGAATATGCTTTTTTTGGTTCAAAGTAGTCATGTCACTAGGACGCATAGTTTCCGAGGATTAAGCGAAAAACCGAAAAGTGGCACCTTTAAACCCCCCTCTCCCCGCCGGCTCAAGGGCTAAGGGCGGGAACTTTTGCTATGTTCACCTCCTAACTAGTCTAAATAAAGTCCTGAAGTCAGAAATTGTGTTCTACAGTTTTCCATCTATAATGCTTTATTGACTGGACTAATAATCGTGATGTTCGAAATCTTTTCCGTTGTTACGATGTCATAGGCAATTAATTATTTGTTTGTTTCCCACATTAATTCAGTCATATTTACAGCTGTTCACGATCACGACGATCCAATCTAAACAAGTGTCTACGCACAATCTTCACACTATAATGAGTTATTCGGTAGTCGGCCGTTTGGTGTAGTGGTTCGAAACGGACTACTATTCCAGAGGTTGCGGGTTCAATTCCCGCACAGTTTTGTGTGCATGATCATATTTGTTTGTATTGGACTGGGTGTTTCTATGTATAATATGTATGTATTTACAAAAAAAAAGTATTTAAGTATGTTTATATCCGTTGTCTAGTACCCATATTACAAGCTTTGCTTGGTTTGGGACTAGAAGCGCAGTGTAAAATGTCCAAGGATATTTATTTATTTATTCATTCTGTGACTATGATGGTGTTAATTGTACTTGATTTAAAAGTAACTCTGTCAGTCTGTCTGTTACCTCTTCACGCTAACAACTAGGCATTTGACACGAGTACATCTTTTGTATGTAACATATCGTTTGAACTGTCTAACTTTGGGCAGGCTTACTAACTGCGAAGTATCACTGAAAACACTAACATAAACCACGACAGTAGACTCACGATTGTAAGGAAGATACAAGTGGGAGCTGAGAAGATCCGTAAACGAACTAAAATCGCTGACGTAGGATTTGCAATTGCAAATGGTTTTGCAAGCTTATGTTCCAATGGGCATGTCACATAGCACGTAGAAGTGACTAGTTGGATCAGTAAGGTTCTTCAATCAAAACAATATAAACACGTCTTGCTGCACTGCCTAGGTACTAAATAGAGTCCCCGTAAACTACAAACTTTTTGGCAGTCGATACCAAATTGGTGTAATGACGTGCGTTATTTTGTACTGTCATCATCATCATCTCAGCCTTAGGACGTCCACTGCTGAACATAGGCCTCCCCTCGAACCTTAATTTCGAACTCCTCCTATGTCCTTCTGATTAATTTCGTTGCGGGTCCAATGACAGTTTAACTTTCCCCCGGACAAAGACCTTCTTGGTTGGGTTTTTATGGCGGTCAAACTGTAGATCCTGGCTACACAGGAGTTGCAGTGGTGGGAACGAGAGGTGGGAATAGTCCTCCCCTAATGCTTTCCATGTTGCCTGGTTGGTAGCGGCCGGCGTCCAGCACCTTCTACCTTTTGCTACCTTTACGATGTCGTCGGTCCATCATGTGGGTGGACGTCCCACGCTGCGTTTTCCGTGTTCCGTATTTCGTACTGTACATACTGATTAATAACCCGATTAAAGTACATAATATCGGCCTAAAAGTCTGCGACGTTCAAAATGGAGAGTGCCTTCTATACTATAACTATGTACAGGGTCTTAGTATAGTGTTGACAGTGAAAATGAGAAATGAGAGGCCCGACATGGTATGTTGAATTAGGGGATGCCATTCACATGTGCGCCCGCCGCAGGTTGTTATCCCAAATATGTAGTGCCTTTGTGTCGACTGTCAGGCTCCAGATATGTATAGTCCACTAAAATATTTCACATTCGCACTTAGTACATGTTTGGGTTTGATCTGTTAATGTGTACGTCTATGTAAAGTCGTGATGAAATAATATAAAAGCTCGTGCTTTTTAAAAAAGTTCTTATCCATTCAACAAGGTGATGAAATGTTCTACGTGTCCACATAAAAAATGCTTTACGATAATATTGAGCCAAATAGGAGCGCGTTTTGGAAATAGGTAGATTGAAAAATCATTCGTTTGTGTCAGCCAAATGGCGTCCACTACTGCTTGGAAAATTGTCACTGACAGAAGAAAGCTACATGATTCTTGAGTAACATAAACACACATCTCTAGGATCGGGCGCCATCTAACAAGAAGAAAGTGGCACTACTAGTTTTTATTAGATTTCTAGATACACAATAGCCGCACGTCTACGTAAATGTAAGTGGCGCGCTGCACATTTTAGAAATTGTATGAAAACCATTAGTAGCGCTGCAGACGCAGTGCAGCTCTTCCTCACGCTTCTTAATTTGAAGGCCCCTGTGACAAACCCATATTCGTTGGAACGAAGCCGCAGACATAAGCTAGTGTAGGTATCCATAAGTGTTGAACATAGCTGAGCTGGCTTAGCTCGCATCACTTCAAACCTTAAGTATCGAGCACATTATATTTTCAGCAGAACCCAAAAATAATGGAGTGCCATTAATAAGAGCTCCAACAAACACCCTTAATATTTATTTACAGCGAATCTCAGGTAAACTTCCAAGGGGCTTCAGTCTTCACCCATTTGTCTCGGAAATGCCCCGTTATTTCGCAACTGTCTTTGTTCAAGTTTTCTTGTTTGTTGTTTTAGTTGAAGTAAAAATTATTTTGGAATATTCGTCAAGAGCTGTTAGGAGTTGAGACCTGGAAAAGTTAGTGCCACTGAATTTGTCAATTCTAATTCTGATTTTGTGAAAGAAAACTGTCATTGTTAGTCTACTTAGGTATGCAATGGAACTGTTTATGAAAAAGTTATTCTAAAATACAATAGTTTAATTTATTTCTTATGAGAGAAGATACTTTTTTCAGTATTAGTCACATATTTTTTGTAAATGCTAAAAATCAATAGTTACACTAACTTGTATTAACTAATTCAAACTAATAAAGGTAGCAGGAAGGCGCTGGATGTAGACCGCTACCAACCGGTCAAAGGAAATCATTGGGGGATGCCTATGTTCAGCAGCAGTGGACGTCCTATGGCTGAAATGGTGATAATGAATAATAAATTTGAACTAAGATGTGGAGATTAAAAACAGAACTTTAAGATACTGAGGTCCATAGAATAGTAGAAGAGAGAATTCTCTTTCTTTTGTCAATTAAAATTACTGAAAAAAAGTAATAAGCGCGTAAATTGCGTTTTTCAACATCAACAAAATAATACTAATTTATTTCTATTTATATGATAGCCAAGTATCAAACCCACATACTCGTAAAAGTAGTTGCGAAAAAATTCGCCGAGCTTTCCTCTGTCATCGACCTATCATTAAATTACCTTCCTCGTGAACTCTGCGTCATCAAGCCAAAACTACTGTTTACACGACCTCCATAAAGTTCAGTTTCCGAATACTGTTTGCTCAATGCATTGTGCTTTTATCTTTTCTCATTGAACTTCCTACCTTAATCAGAGAAAATAAGATTGAATTTGCACTGGTAGTTTAATGGTACGTTAGTAATGTAGGCGTCAAAATTTCTCGGGCCACCAAAGCTGATGAATCATTGGAAACACGCGGTTCTGTAATACATTTTCGATAGATTTATTTTTAACGAGATAGAGTGGTTGCGGTAGTCTACTATAGATATAGCGTTTAACCGAGTCAGTAGCTGAGGTATTGCAGCGACACGGGAGGGGCGACATTGATATTGACGAGACAGAGCATACAAATCTGAAAATATGAAGTCGCGCTGACATTTGATATCACAAACACCCTTTTTTTGTCGCGTAGGAAATGTTTTGCGCACCGTCACCACTGCCGGGGGATAGGGTAATGTGTGGGACTCTCGGCGCTGTTCCGTCCTGAATAGTACGGGGTATACCCACTAAAACCTACACGGCGTTCCGTCATCGCCTGAGTAGGAGTGTCAGTATCCAGCCGTAGCCTTAGGCAGGAATCATATTGAACGGCGCGAGTCGGCGCGCAGCGCAGCGTAAAAATGCGGACGCATGCTCGCGCATCCGTCCGGATTGAAATGTCAGTTGATCAGTTGAAAGCAATTACGACTCTAAGAACTGTTAATAAAATACTGTTTTCTTTACGGCCGTGTAAGTGCGCTCCGACGCGCTCCGACGCGCTCCGGTCAATGGGCATCGTGCCTTCGACATCCGCGACACCCCCCCGTACCGCTCCCATACCTACCTCAAGAACTGACTCAGTTAAGCGCTAAGCCTATATTTCGACACCTTAATTTTAGGACTCACAGCTAGAGATGAAACGGATAGTTGTTTGGCCGGATACCGGATACCGGATATCCGGCCAGCTGCTAGGCCGGATAGCCGGATATCCGGCGGCCGGATAGTTGGCCCCTTGTCTCGTTGCATGTCGTGTCTATTAGTCTAACGTACAATTTGCATGTTCTCTAGAAAACGTAAGTCGCACTTCGCGAAGGTATCGGAAAAGTTCTGGTCCTCGAGCTGGTCTTCGAGTATGCAGGTTATGATCCTCCATCCTTCTTCTTATTGTGTACTCACTGACATTCACTAGGCTTGTTGTTTGTAAACGCTACGCTGGCGTATCTCAAACGTAGTGAGAACCCGATTTCTTGATATTGCAAGCACGATAATCGGGTCATCGCGCGCTGATTTACACCTTCATTCCCCACTTTTTGGTCTTCTTGTGTAAAAGGCGGTATGGTCATGCCTTTTTAACGTGTATCTTAAATTTGTACGCCATAAATTGAAAGTTTCAGCCATCTCCCGCTGTATACGCCCTGGACTTCTAAGCAGCACTATTTGAGCAACTTGAGCTGAAATAATGGACATTATTCTCAAATTATGGAAACGAGAATAACCCTAAGATTAATTTAAAAACAAAAAACAAAACGCCAAACCCTTACAACATTTAATATCGAATTTAAACTTACCCGTACTCTTTACGCTCCAACAACGAAATGCGTTTCTAGAGTCAAAAAAGTTAAACAGACGCATTTTTTTATTAATCTAGCCTCTTAAATTAACAAAAACAAATGTTCTGTTAACATGTCACACGAAACTTAGGTATACAACACCTATTTGCCCTCATATCTGGTTGTTTAGGCTTGGGCCAAATTCCGTGCCGCTGAGTGTATTTATGTATTCGTCATTAGAGTGAATAGCCCAGAAAAAGAAATTAGTTTTTTTAAAGGCCTTAATTAATACGGCTTTTTAGTAACTTTTTGAACTTTAAATAAAAGCCGTCATTATTATTATAAGCCATTTTATTGATGTTTGCCTCAAAGATTAATGTTATTCATTTTATTAATAAGAAATTGTCGTAGTTTTCAACCGACTTCAAAAAAAGGAGGAGGTTCTCAATTCGACCCGTATGTTTTTTTTTTCTATGTTTGTTACGCGATAACTCCGTCAATTATGAACCGATTTGAACAAATCTTTTTTCGGCGTATAGGTAATACCTCAAAAAAAACAACCCCTAAGGGTGGAAAATTGGGGATGAACTTTTTTATACGCAATATCTCCGCCGATTATAAACCAATTTGAACGATATTTTTTTTGTTGAATAGGTATTATCAAAAGGGTGGTTTCATGCGAATTTGAAGAAAATATTTGACCCCCAAGGGTGGAAAATTGGGGATGAACTTTTTTATACGCAATATCTCCGCCAATTATGAACCAATTTGAACGATTATTTTTTTGTTGAATAGGTATTATCAATTTTTTTTAATTTTTAGTTTTTTTTGTGTTCACGCATTTGAAGTCGGTTATATTTTTTAAAAAAAGTTAATTATATTCCACATACAAGTCATTATATTTACCGTCATATCTCTCCATGCAGTTGACGTAGTCAAGCATACAATAGTTCGTAAAGTTCAGTTCTACATAGTATAATGTTCTGCCACACAATACTCCAGTGCTGAAATATTTTTTATCATTTGAAGTTATGAAAAGTTTATTTAATATCCGGTATCCGGCCGGATAGTGAGTTACTATCCGGTATCCGGCCGGATAGTAAATTTAGGCCGGATATCCGGCCTACCGGATAGTTACCGGATATCCGTTTCATCTCTACTCACAGCTGTTCGCGGGTGATTTTTGGCAGCTTGAATATAAATCTTGAGTGATTAATAGCGGTATTATAATAATGTACGTGCCCTCAATAATATCGAATTGTGTGATGGGAATGGGCAGACCGTAATATTTTTTTGTTAAAAAAATCTGGAACTTTGTCCTTTCTTTTTTCTTCTATTATGTAGACCGACGTCCTAGAGGTAGGAGGAAGGCGTTGGATGCAGGTCGCTTCCAACCGGACGATGTGAAAATCATTGGGGCCTAGGTTCATCAGTGGACGTCCTGTGGCTGAAATGATGATGACGATGCAGGTTACACGGTAGAAAGAATGTCAATAAGAGTTCCTGGCCTTGGTATCTGACTTGAGCAGCCATCATCAATTAGGAATATTCCTAACTGATGCCTGTGGCAGCTCAAGTTGGTCATATTATGACCAAAGCAACCATCTTTCTTTTACTTTTTAACAAACGTCAAAAATTCTGTTGAACTCCATTTAAAAACACCGGACTGCAACTCAGCCTTAGGATTTCCTATCAACAATAGTATAACAAAACTGAGGATAAATGTTCTAGTTTATTTTTAGCCGACATCGATGAAAATATTTTAGTTACATCTAAACTTAACCCTTAAACTAACCTAATTATTACGAGAACTAACA